ACTTCCTGTCCTACAGGAATGTTAGGGAGGGGGATTAGTGGTGGGAGTAGGGAGGGGGTAGGATTTGTTGTTGTTTGAGTATTTCTAGTCCTCGCGCGGGCTCATTACCGCGTATGGGGAGCGTCCCACGGGTGGCGGATATGGGGATGGTCGGTGGAAATTCCTTGGAAGTTCCTCCCGGCTAAGTCCGATGGACTCGCTGACCAACAATGAGAGGGGCCCTCCAGACTTGCTGGAGGGAGGGGACCTCCAGACTTGCTGGAGGTAGGGGCCCACCAGACTTGCTGGAGGGTGTGACGTAGGATTGAACGCCCTACTCACATATCTTTAGTTCTCCAAACACCACAAAAAGTCATGGATCTCCCTAAGGTAAAACGCTCATTATCCGGAGGTAAACTAGTCCCCCGTTCGGGTCTCCGGGTGGGGACTGCTTTAGGGGATTCATGGTGCAAGTTGAAATATAGGGATTTAAATATTGGTACGTGGAACGTAAGGAGTTTAAACACAGCAGGGGGGCTAAAATCGGTCGCGAATGAGGTAAATGGGTACAAGTTGGATGTCGTGGCTCTGCAAGAGGTTCGCTGGCCAGGGGAGGGCTCGATGAGGGAAGGAAAGTACACTATTTGGTACGGAGGAAGCGGGAATCATTGTTTGGGTACCGGGTTTCTAATTAGGAGTAGATTATTATCCGCTTTGAGTGACGTACAATTCTTTAGTGATAGAATTTCGGTAGCTACATTTCAGGGACGTTGGTTTAAAATCGCATTAATAAACATACATTGTCCGACCGAAGACAGTGACGATGAAGTCAAAAGTGAATTTTACGATAAACTCGAATGGGTTTATGATAAACTACCGCGAAACTACATGAAAATAATTGTAGGTGACGCGAACGCAAAGGTAGGAAGGGAAGAAGTTTATATTCCGACGATTGGTAAAGAAAGTTTGCACGAATATAGTAATGATAATGGGATCCGTCTGATAAACTTTGCCATCTCGAAAAACCTGATAATTAAAAGTACGACGTTTAAACACAAGGATATTCATAAATATACTTGGACATCACCGGATTCGCAAACACGAAATCAAATCGATCATGTCTTGATACAACATAGCTGGCAAAGCAGTATTATTAATGTACGGTCTTATCGCGGAGCAGAATGTGGGTCGGATCATGAATTAGTAATCGCGAAACTTCGACAAAAACTTAATATAAAAAAGAGAAAAGAAAACCGTTTCGATTTTGAGAATTTTAATTTGGAAAAATTAAAAAATCCATCAATTAGAAACCAATTCGAGCTAGATGTTAAGAATAGGTTTGAAGCTTTAGAGCTTCCTGACGAGGACCACGAGGATATTGACAAGTTATGGATAGAGATCAGGGATAATATTAAAGCGGTCGGTAACTCGTGTCTAGGAAAAAAGGAAAATAAGAATAACAAACCGTGGTTTGATGAAGATTGCTTAAACATGTGTGAAAAAAGAAAAGCCGCTAAATTAAAAGCTCTAAATAATCCTAGCGAAGACAATCTGGAATACTTCCGAATCTCAAAGAACGAAACGACAAAATTGCTCAAAAATAAAAAAAGGGAGTATCTTAAAAATAAAATAATTGAAATAGAAACTAATAGAATCGAAAATAACGTAAGAGACATGTACAAAGGTATAAACAGATCACGTAAATATGTAGGGCCCGTAACGTCTGGAATTAGGGATGATAATAACAATATTCTGACCGATCCGGTTGACATATTGAATAAGTTTAAGGACCACTTTGACAATATTTTAAATACGGGAAATTATGATCTGTGTCCTCCTTCTGAGTACCAGAGTGCTGAACCGTTAATAGAAGGACCAAGTAAAGAGGAAGTTGAAGTAGCTATCGGAAAATTAAAATCATATAAAGCAGCGGGAATCGATAATATTCCTACTGAACTAATTAAGGCATGCGGGGAAGCTGGAGTTTCTAAAATACATCGGTTGGTTAAAAAGATCTGGGTGAACGAGAAATTACCTGAAGAATGGAAAGAATCTATTCTTATTCCGATTCACAAAAAGGGCCCGAGGACGGATTGTAATAACTATCGAGGAATTTCACTCCTTCCGGTATGTTATAAAATATTCACTTCAATCTTAACCAGTCGAATCACGGAATACGCCGAGGAAATTATCGGAGACTACCAATGCGGATTTAGACGCTATCGTTCGACAATTGATCAAATATTTTCTTTACGGCAAATATTAGAGAAAAAATTGGAGTATAACGGTATTGTTCACCAGCTGTATATAGATTTTAAAAAGGCTTACGATTCTATTGACCGCCAGAAACTGTATAATATTCTAATCGAGCAGGGGATTCCAAAAAAACTAGTAAATCTAGTCAGGATGTGCTTGACGGAGACACTCAATAAAGTTAGAATCGGTAATAATTTGTCCGAAAAATTTGAGGTTCGTTCGGGCTTAAAACAGGGGGATTCTCTTTCGCCTGTCCTGTTCAATTTGGCATTAGAACATGCCATTAGGGAGGTAATGCGAACCGAGAAAGGGTTGGATCTGGGCGGGACAACATCCGTGCTGGGCTATGCTGATGATCTGGTACTGTTAAGCGAAGACGTTGAAACTATAAAACTAAATACGACAACGTTAATGAAAGCCGGTAAAGAACTAGGACTCGAAATAAACGTGGATAAAACAAAATATATGGTTAGCTGCAAAAATGGCGATACTACTGGTGATATCGATATAGATGGTAATATGTTTGAACAGGTAGATAAATTTAGGTATCTAGGTTCTACGATAACTAGAAAAAACGAAATTGAAGAAGAGATTAAGGTTAGACTGAAGGCGGGGAATGCTTGTTATTTTTCTGTGACAAAACTACTTAGTTCGCGCCTCTTGTCCCGAAACTTAAAAATTAGAATCTATAAAACAATTATCTTGCCTACAGTTCTTTATGGATGCGAAACTTGGCCGCTTACATTAAGGGATGAGCAGCGTCTTAAGGTTTTTGAAAATAAAGTATTGCGTAGAATATTCGGACCGAAGAAGGATGAGTTAACCGGAGAGTTCAGACGGTTACACAACGCCGAATTGCATGAGCTGTATCCGGATAATATAATTGAGGTAATTTCATCGAGGCGAATCAAATGGGCTTGTAAAGTTGTTGGGCTTAGTAACGAGAGAATTCCTAAAAGGTTAATATTTGCTGTGCCGAATGGTAAGCGTCCGAGGGGTAGACCGAAGCGAAGGTGGGAAGATTGCATTAAAGCCGATCTGAAGGGACTGGGTTTGGACGGCGAACGGTGGAGGGAGGTGTGTAACAAGCGATTGGTGGTGTCGGCATCGAACCTTCGAGTTCGCTAAGCCTTATTATTATTATATTATATTATTATATTATTGAGTATTTCTAGTATTAGCTGAGTAAGTGGTATTAAATATGTTTTCTCTAAAGTTAAACAATGAATTTGTTTGAATGCCAATGTCTTTCTTTTCGATAGTGTTAGGATTTTGTTTTGTAATTTCAGCAAAATATCTAGTAAACTGGGTTGGATTCTGTTCTTTATAATTTTTTTTTGCTTCGTTTAAAGATATTTTATTTATGGTTTGGATAGTTTTTATTTCTTTCTGCATAATAAAAATTGGACATCGACGATCTAATGAGTTGTGATTTTGGGCACAATTACTACAGCGGGCTGGGCGCGTACATCTCACGTTATCATCGTGTATCATCACATTGAATGCATTTACTTTGTTTTTTGCAGACATTCGAAGGGTGTCCAAAGTTTAGGCAGTTAAAACAGCGAAGGGGATTAGGAATATAATCTTGCACTTTAACCGTATGGAATCCTATCTTTATTGTTTCCGGAATTCTCGGTGTAGGAAAGGTCACGATATATGAATTTTTCAATATCTCATTTCCATTTTTTTTTATTTTAATGCTTAATATGTCTTTTATCACAGAAGACAATTTATTTTTAATTTCGTCTATCTCTAGAAATTGAAGATCGTAACATCGAATCACTCCTTTACTGTAATTTAAGGTATTGTGGGGGGAAACCTGTACAGGAAACTGGCCACCAGAATTTTTACATTTTAATAGTTCTTCTGATTGTTTTCCGTTTTTTGTTTCAATAAGTAATGTACCATTTATTAGCTTTTTCACATTTTTTAAGTCTCCTACTAATCCTGAAAGAAACTTATTTACTAAGAACGGGGATACTTTTTCAAAATTTTGATCATCTGATCTTTCTATTATTAAGAACGATGGGCTAATTGGGATCGCACTATCCGTATTTTCGGCTTCAAAATTAAGACGACCCCGAGGTCGTTTTCGTTTAACCTTTGGGCTATTTAAATCTATGGGGTCCCCCATAGAAATATAAAATAAAACGTAATAAAAGAAAGTAATTAATAAAGAGAAAAAGAAGACAAAAAAATGATAAAATGAAATAAAATAAATATATCCTTATAGTTTATATTAAAAAAAAATATATATATCCTTATAGTAAATAACAAATAATAAGTGAAAAGTAATAAAAAAAGAAATTAATAAATCTTATCTGTGAGCGACTATAGAAAAACGTCTTCTCTCTTCGGATGCTAACACTGAACTGGGATTTTCATTGCTCGTATAAATATGGTTGTTATTGTTAATGTTATTTATTTAATGAGCAGTGTACTATGAAAGATAGGCACTTATTTAATTACTTACCCATAAATAAATTTTTAGTAAAACTTAATTAGCTTAACATTTTAACAATAAATCGTTCCCGTTTAAGATTTAACCTTAAATAATATCCTGTATATTGTTTTTGAATCTTAGTTAATCATATATTCAAAACACCCCCCACGAATATTAATAATATATTCTCCCACGACGTTGTTTTCTGCTTAAAACTCATTCTCTTTGCCCGTATAAATTCCAATATACATTCTTTTATATTGTATTGTATTTATTTTACTAAGATATAAATTATTGGGAAAATACTCATTCGTATTACATTCATTTCTTTCTTGATAATCCATTGCCTCGATTTTATTGCTGATGTTTCTTTGTTCTTCTGGGGATTGGATGTCTCGATGATTGCCAAAAAAGAGAAAAGGACCTGTGGAAATATAAATTATGAATAATGAAACGGAGTGGAAAATTATAATGTAATTTAATATTTGATAACATGTTTTACAATTTTCTTTTAATATGTTTACATTTTCTCCAAATCCTGGATAACGGTAAGAAAATAATAATTTTTCTAACTTTATCTTAAAAAGTTGATTGGTTTTCACCCTTTTAAGTTTTTCTTTTAATTATACAAAACCTAATTGTATTTATTTTTTATATTTATGTTTAGCTATGTTACGATAGTAATCCGTGGTACAGACACCTTTTTATCAAATTATTAACATCCACTTCAACCAATTGAATAGCTTCATGTTGTCCTAACAGAGAAAACTTTTATCTGTGAAAATTCTCAGAACCGGGAAGTTTTCCAGTTTATTTAATTAGATACTAAATAATAAATAAATAAATTCTTTCCACTTGAATCGTAAGATAATTTGATCACAAAATAGAGAAAAAAATGTGGTCCGCAAAAATATTGGGCCGGTTGGCCTATATAACTTCGTGATTTTGACATGTTGGGTGTGGAGACCACGCCAAATTGTCCAATATTTTTGTAGGCCACCTTTATTCTCGATTATGTGATCAAATTATCTTACGATTTAAGTGTAAAGCAAATGGGTGTTAATGAGTTTTTAATACCTATTTAAATAGACAAAGTTTGCCGATCTCCAGATTGAAAACGCCCCAATTCCGAGAGTTTTCTCAAATAAAATTGTTGTGTGTTAGGTTACAATGAGATAAAGCCATTCACGAAATTTTCGGCGGATGTTAATTATTTGATAAAAAGGGGTCTGTTAATGATTTCCTTGGTGACGCCATATAAAGGAGAAGTAACATTGCTGGCTCAGAATATTTAAATGGTTCGTAATATTTAAACTTAAATTAAATTTAAATATTTATTTATTATATTGTTTGAAGGTGTACATATTTTAATCTACTATAATAACTAGATATCGGATTTCCATGTTATTTTAATGAATTCCAAAACCAATTAAATGGATGGTATTTGCACGTTTATAGTAGTTAAATAAACTTATATTTTTTTATTGTTTTTATTAGACGATTACGCACATTTTTAAGTTTTTTTGCGACATTCTTTTCGGGGTTTTGGTATACAAAGATCCGGTCCCTAATTATAATCTTCAAACCTTTTTAACCACAGATGTAGTCAGGAGCCTGTTTATAAAGTTTCATTGAATTAAAATATAAAGTGTTGCAATACATTTTTTGAACTAAAACGTTTTAGAAATTATGGCAAATTATATGGCTAACCTAAAAATGAGCTGGTAATGTTAGAATTTTACAGTATATATTGATAATGTAATATACGGTGAGCGGCAGAAAGTCATCTATGTGCATGGATAGGGCATTGATTTTTGTCATTGTGTTGTTAAGTAAGCCTTTACGGTTTTAACTTGTGAAAATATCAAGGTGGGTCAAGACCACATGGTGGGTCTGTCGTTTAGCCGGCAGGTCAGGTTGCATTTTTAACAACAAAATAGACTGCAGAAATCGTAAGCTGGTATAGATAAAATATAATATAAAAATTCGACTAGTAACCAAATATAAAAAAATATAAGTATATAAATAGTGAAAAATATAAATATGGGCAAGATCACATAAATGTCTGCCGTAGGACAGGGTAGGTTTGATAGCAATTTCAATAAAAACAACTTAATTAACCAGGCTAAACTAATTTTCCTACAAGTGTAGGTAGATAAATGAAGTATAAAAATGTAGCTTCTGAAATATACTAATGTAAATAATGTAGGTATGTCCTTAAAGACATACGTAAAGGATCAATTATAAATGTTTCAGCAGTTCCATTGATTGCTCTGTACACGGAATGCCAAAATTAAACGAAGTTTGTCCGAAAGCAAATGGAGACGACCGGTCTCCAAATGTTATATTAAATAAGAAAAAAAAATATAAATAGACTTATACATAGTGTTTGCACTGTATTAAGTACCGAATGTCGAAATAATCGCTATTTTTATGGTTACTACTGACTATAATCAAGAATCTCTGTAGACAAAAATAAACGCATGAAATCAGTTCTTAAAAATATGAAAAACATTGTGTTTAAACTTATCTAAGAATTAAAGATTTTTTGGAAAACAAATATTCCTAGTAAATGGCCTCCAGTGGGACCAAAACGATTTATTTTTATATAGTTTTAAGAAGATAATTGGAAAAATTAATAGCAATTACTGGAAAAAAATCCTCTTCATAAAAATCGATGATCAGGTATTAAAATATTTGAATTTAAGTAATATTACATAAAAAATTCTCCGATTTTTCCAGTTTTTTCAGGTTTGCTAGCCCCTGGTATGGATTTCATTGTCACTGATGAGACGGTTTATTGTTTTGAGTGAGCTTAGAATTTAGTCTAGTTAGCACATACGGTAGTTTTTAACAGCTATTGTAACGAAGTATTGTTACTTACTTTCGACTTGCTCGGGTTTCGCTTGGCTATCTGAACAATATTTTTGAATCCGTTTTTGGTCCTTCCTCTTCAACTTGTGACATTTACTGCATATATTTCGACTATCAAATTCTGGTCCTAAAAAAGACCAAATACTCTTATTTCTGATGGATTTGTCTGAAATCATATCATTCGTCAAATGGAATGTTATTAAAACTCATCGTTAATCAGTAAAACATATTTATCTATCAATTATTAACATTTTAAATTGAGAGTAATAACAAACATTTTCAAATCACACAGAGGAATGGAGCACTTGATTTAATACTGACAAATAGCTTCCAATGCGGAGGTTTCTGATGGTAGTAATGAATAAGTTGGATTGCAAATTAATTACAAAGTGCATCCAGGATACTTTTAGATTTGTATACTGCATTAAGACAATTTATATATATTCGGAGAATATTAATTTATTTTCATTTATTTAATGATAGTTTAAATATTGAACTCAGTAATTAAACCAAAAAGTTTGTTAATCAAATTATTGTATTGTTGTTTTTCGCGTTTCTAAAAGAATATTCGGTTCAGTAACAGACTTTTTTTATGACAGAGTTTCAAATAAAATATTTTAAAATATATTTTTTGTATTTTGCATTTTAAGAAGTTGAATATAAAATAGGTTGTTTACTACTGCATTTTCTTTTTAAAATACCAAATACAATAAAATTATTTATATTTTATATCCAAGATACTACTAAAATAATAAAATTTACTAAATAGAGTAGGTTTCCTTTATTACATGCTGATTGTCCACCAGAAATTATTATGTAAGTAGAATACAAAATATTTATAATATTTTGTATTTGAAATATAATTTCTGATAAGAAATGTAAATACTGTGTAACTGAAATACTTTTAAATATGTATACACTGTATTTTTTAAAAAACATACATATTATACATATTATTTAAAATACATTTTGCTCAGCTCTGCCCAATACTCAATATCAACCAATGATGGTGAATGCGAACGAACTTTGAGCTGCAGGAGCTATATATAGAGATGCCAGTGTTGTGAGCATTATAAGGATTGGCTGATTAAGCTGGGCTGGAACCCTGGCTGGAAACGTTCGCTGGAAGCCTGGATGAAATATATTGAGAAAATTATTAGAAGAAAGAATTCACACAAAACGGATAGTCAGACATAAAATTAGTAAGGCTCATGAAGTGGAAGCTATCTTATGTGTCCTCGATTGGAAGACGGCTGCACTTCTTGACTGGTGGTTGGAGCTGCAGAAAACCCAGACACAACAAGAGTTGTAATGCCGAAAAAAAAAATAATAATAATAAAAAAAAAATTAAAAGCCAGAACTGAAAATTATGAAAGAATGAAAAGAATAACCTATGCAGTTTTTTTATGCTTTTGTCAAAACTGAATCACATTAATCAAAGCCTAAAAAACTTTAAATGTAAAAGTTCACAATCTTACAAAATTCATATATATTTACAGCATTTATGTTAGAGTTATTTTAAATAAAAAATCAATTAAAATATAACATACTATTAAATCATAGTAAATTTACTACTTACCTAAAAAAACGATGTCAGGTTCTTCGTCATAAAAAGGTCTACTGACAGTCATATTTTTGGGTTTTTTCTTTCCATTAAAATTTTTATTTCGGTTTCGCCACTTTTGACCTCCTATGAAAGTATAAATAACGACTGTAATTATATATTTTCATTAAAAAAATAATAATTAGGTTCAATTAGGTTACCGTTGGATTATGCGCTTTCATTTAATATGAGAAGCACGCCATACCCACAGTGCGTAAAGTTAATAAATAAACTCAGTTTAGATTGTATCATTGAAAAATATGATTAGGTCCAATTAGGCTATAGTAAAATTATGTGGTTTCATTTAATATGAGGGGTTTGATTTAATTAATTTAATATTCCACTGTGCAGGTTGCTAATAATTTTTTTTTTTGGAAATTGTCGAATTGGAAAGGACGAAATGTGACAATAGATATTATATAACTTTTTTTTATTTTTTAATATTCTGCCGCAGATATAATTTAAGTTAATAAATATTTGTCAAGAATTTTTAATTTCTTTGTGATTAAGAGCAGTTCTATTTTCAATTTTCGGATAACTAATTATTGAAAACATTTTAATATCCCAATTAAAACCAGGCCAACTCTTTATTGTATATGAACCTGTAATACTAAAAGTTCATGCATTTCTAGTGAAAACATCCTGGAATGAAAATTAAGCAAAGACTGGTGTATGCAGGTTATAAAAATATATGATCTACAATATATATGTTGTACATATTCTTTAAAAAATAAACTAAAATATAATAAAAAAATAAGATGGAGTAAATGATGATAAATTTACTTTAGCACAAATTAAAACTTACGGTATAAAAAACCTTCAGGTTCTTCTTCACTATCTGGTCCAGTTGCACTCATTGTTTTAGGTTTTATCTTTCGATTTTTATATCGGTGTCGCCAATTTCGATCTCCTGTCAAAGTATAAATAACAGCTGTAAAATGACGAATATTTTGACGAATATATTGAAAAATAAAGAATCAATGGGTGGTTTTCACTTCCAGGATTAGACTTGATTAATGATATCCCAAAAGAAAGATACAAAATAAATAAAGTTAATAACGAAACAATTAAGAATAAAGGAAGAATTATCAATTTTGAAATTCAATGAAATTACATTATATTTACAAATGAATTATTTATCATGTTCAGTCGATAGAAACCTCATGACCCCATTTCCGTAACTTTTAAAGAATAAAAAAAAATAACTCCAAATATCTGAAGTTAATAAATAAAATAAGTTTAGGTTGTATCAATGATAAAAAAAAAGATTAGGTTATTTTAATTAGGTTATGAGTTCGGCTCAAGCCGGTGAGAAAGAAAGATCGGTTCGACGTCATTATCATCTATGATTGGGTAATTTTCGTCCAATTCACCTGAGATTTGGCACCTAGACGGAGCTGAGTGCTACAGACCTGCACGTGAAATTTTATAAAGATTGAGCGAGGATATTAGCTAGAATCAGAAGGCAACGATGGTGGTGTACTTGTGGGAGTGGCAGTGCTTATCGCTCTGCAGCCTGGTACCTGTCGGTCCCCTCCACCTCTAAGCAAGGTCAGTGTCGTCTTATCTACAATCATCGAAGGAGCCCAACTAATTTGACTGTTACGTATTTTATATATTCGATCCCTTTCTCTCATAAAATAGAAAATTAGTGTTTATTATCATAATTTATTATCTATATAACGTTTTAAATCAAATTTTTAAAGTAGACCAATATATGTACACATTTTTTTTTTAAATTTTTAATTTATTATTGCTGAACTGAATTTTTAAGTATTTAATGATCCTATATTTTGTATTTTATTTAATACACTAGGCAATATATTAAATTTAATATATTTAATGAGATGTGGATAGGTGTATATATATTGTTTGTTTTTTTTAGATTATAACTTCCTAAATTTTTATCTTTTGATTTTCAACTGATTTAGGCAATTATTGTTTTTATTGTTTTATTTATTTATTCTTTTAGATTTTAACTTTTTAACAGTTTATTGATTTTATATTGTAACTCATTTTAGGAATTTTTTTTTTAGATTTTAACTTTTTAGATTTTAACTTTTTTAGATTTTAATTTTTTAAGATTTTAACTTTCTTAGATTTTAACTTTTTTAGATTTTAACTTTCACTTATTTTTAACTTGTACTTAAAATTTAACTATACACTTTTTACTGATTCTGTATTGTAACCTATTTATAAGCAATTTATTTGATAGATTTATATTTTTTTAACCTTTTATTGAGTTTATATTTTAACTAAATTTATTTAACACTTGATTCTATAGTTTGTAACTTTTTATTTATTTATTTATTTAATTTTGCATTTCACACACCTTAAACAGATTGTTTCAATCATGCGCGAGGTGGGCATAGTCTAGAACGAAAAAATAATATTGCAATGAACAAAATACCAACGAAAAAGATCGAAGTTTGACGGAAGGTATGGGTTCTGAGAACTGGAGAACCTGTTCAAGAGGCGGTTGTTGCCTCTGTGATGTCTGTGGCTACTGCAGGAGGCGGAGAAAATAAATTTATTAAAGTGGAATGGCCTGACACAGAAGGTGTGGTATTGGGAAAGACGGTGTCGATAGATGATGTCTTTCCCAGATTGCCAAATGGTCCGCTGAATGTCGCAGAGGTATTTAGTGAACGGCATAATGAAGCTCTACGCCCTGATGGTAAAGTTTGTCCGATATGCGGGCTTTCTTTTAAGGGCGAACGAGGTCTCGGAACCCACATTGCAAAAAAACATCCCAGGGAGGCGAATAACAATACATTGAGGGGCATAGTGAAGAACGTGATAGGTCCTAGAAATGGAGAGGGTGAGACATCAAAAATAAAAGAGGACATTGTTGGATGGTCTACTACGTTCAAGAACCTATCAAAGCAAAATATGGTAAATACTGCGGATTTTGATGAGGCCGTAGGCAAGTTTCTAAAGTTCCTCAAAGTTATCAATGCGGAACTGCCAGGTCCCCAGCACCCAGCCGTCGAATTTTATAGGATGAGGAAAAAAAAAATGAAAATGGCTGACAAGGGTGCTGGACAAGTTTCAAATCCGCAGAGGGCAAACAAAGTAGACAGGGGTCGTTGGCAAGAGCAGTATCAGTATGAGGTTGCTCAATATAATTATTACAATAAAAGAAAAAAGGTTGTGCAAACTGTAATGAATGCCGACGCTCCTAAACGGTGTCCTCTAAATATGGCCGAAATCGAGAGGCATTATAAAGACCTCTTTGAAAGCGAAAATCTCTGCGGGCGTGCGGATTACGAACAGTGTGCCCCGATGCCAAATTTGCTGTCCATTGAGATAGAAGCTGTCAGGAAAGCCATTAAGTCAACATCAATGGACACATCGCCGGGGCCTGATGGAGTTCTGATCCACACAATCAAATATTTTGACGTATCAAACATTATCAAAACGATTGCAGAGATAATGCTGAAGGTGGCCTATGTCCCGGAACCACTTCGACAAGGGCGCACAATATTAATATATAAGGGCAAAGGTGATATAAACAATATCTCTACCTGGAGACCGATCACCATATATTCGATTGTGCGCCGAATCATAGAGAAGGTTCTGGACCACGAATTAAGAAAGCAGGTCACCTTCCATAAGAGTCAGAGAGGCTTTATAAAAGGCCACCCGGGAACGCACGTCAACGCAAGGATTATCGACTCGGTATTAAAAAATGCACAAAAAATGAAAAATGACTGTGCGATAGTTTTCCTCTACGTTGTCGGTGCTTTTGACAATGTTGGCCACAAACACATCGTAAGCTCCTTAGAAGCGAGAGGTGTGTCACCAAATCTTACAAATGTCATATCAGTTCTCCTTAGCACGAACACCATAAAAATTAGTAACGGTGTTCATAGAACTTGCCAGATCAAAGTGCTGCGCGGTGTACCCCAAGACGGCCCCCTGTCGTCTTCACTCTTCAACGTGGCCATCGACCATCTCTACCGCGACCTGTTCGATGAGGACTTTTCCAAGAAATTTTGATACAAATTAAGGAATGAGCAAAATTGTGTGGTCCTAACAGGTTTCGCGGATGACCAGGCTGTGTCGGCGCGAGACAAGGGGGCTGGAGAAAGAGTTATTGACAGCATACAGAGGACATATAAAGAAATTGGTCAGGCTATAAATCCTCAAAAAAGTATGGGCATCGTTCTAAATGAAGGAGAGCTGGAAACTACGATGCTCTCCCTTGAGAATGGTGAGTACATCCAAACATTGAAGAATGGAGATACGATTAAGTATTTAGGATGTACATTCTCGGGAGAGCTACAATTCAACGAAGATTCGGTGACTAAATTGAATGATAATTTAAACAAGCTGGTAACCTCTTGTTTACTTAAACCTGAGCAGAAACTCAACATTGTCAATCAATATCTGTTCCCGGGTCTTACTTACCCTCTCCAAACTGCGCCCCTAACAAAGCTGCGTCCTTCCATACTGGAGGGCATCGACACTATGATTTGCAGGAGCGTAAAGGCCATTATTGGACACCCTGCCAATACTTCCACAGCGATGTTGTATGCCCCCAGGATACCGAGGATTGGGATTAATCCGCTGCCAATGGGAGGTTCCTCTTCAACATTGATCCATTGCACAGCGACTGTCCAATGTACCAGATGCCCTTTTTCAGTCTACCTTCAATTATTAGGCTGAAGTTGCTGAATGTGCCGAGAGATTGGGGGTTGATCAGGATCATCGAAAAGTGAAAGCTCTACGGCAGTTGCTTCGAGAAAATGCATTTGAGGAAATAGATACATCTACGAAAAGCAATTACTGTCTGGGTCTGAATGGTTGAATGCCCTAAAACTAAACATTAATTATGCGCTCCTGGGTGGAGTCCTAGGAGTCAGCGGACAGGCTAGAGAAGTTGGGTCCCTCTACCGTAAATGTGGCAGAGAGTCTGAAACACCAGACCATGTGCTGGGAAAATGCCCCAACAACTCCCTCCTCATAACACGTCGTCACCACCGGGTCAAGTTCGAGTTGATGAGGCTCCTTAGGGACAGGAAATTCACCTGCTTTGACGAGGTATATTGCATCGATAGTGAAGGCTCTACGAGATACGCGGATATCGTCGCATTTCCCAATACAGGAAGGACTGAGCTGATCTTGGATCCAACTGTCCGCTTTGTGAGCAATGACTTCGATCAGGCGGGTGAAGTGGAAAGGGCAAAGAAGAACACTTACGATAAATGCATCCCTTTCCTATAAGAGAAATTCCGTTAGACCTTTGGAGAGAGAGAGTTCACCGTGAGAGGCCTCTGGTTTGGGTCTCGCGGAACAATTCCAAAAAGAAAACCAGGAGCTTCCTAGAGGAACTAGGTGTCGACATTAAGGACGTAGCGAGGTTGGCTGAAAATATAGTCCTCGACTCCCTGGGAATCATTCACCACCACATGCATGGCTAGCCTGAGAGTTTTAGTTTATGTATTTATTTAATGTTTTTTCTTTTTATTTCTTTATGACATTTACAACTGTATTACATAAATACATCAAGTAAATTTGGACATAATTGATATAATGACATGAATACACTTGCTGATTAACTACCCAATGGTAGCACTCTAATGATATGACTACATTAGGAGATCCTGGGCCATCTTCTTTTCAGACGCCTCGGAGGGTTATCAGGAATTGAAGAGGAAGCAAGGTTAGAAACGAGAGGGTTGGGATGATTCTGAAGTTTATTATGGAAGGATAGGTATCTGGATTGGGCCAGATCTGAAACATAAGGAACATTAAGATCTTTATGGATAATTTTATTAGTGACAAAGTAAGGAGCATTGAGGATTTTACGAAGGATTTTGGATTGTAAGGATTGGATGCGAGAGGAATTCGATGGTTTAGTGGAGCCCCATAGCTCAACTCCGTAAGTCCAAATAGGTCTTATTA